TCAGTAAGTGGTTGGTAAGGTGTCAGTAAATGGTTGGTAAGGTGTCAGTAAGTGGTTGGTAAGGTGTCAGTAAGTAGTTGGTAAGGTGTCAGTAAGTGGTTGGTAAGGTGTCAGTAAGTGGTTGTAAGGTGTCAGTAAATGGTTGGTAAGGTGTCAGTAAGTGGTTGGTAAGGTGTCAGTAAGTAGTTGGTAAGGTGTCAGTAAGTGGTTGGTAAGGTGTCAGTAAGTGGTTGTAAGGTGTCAGTAAATGGTTGGTAAGGTGTCAGTAAGTGGTTGGTAAGGTGTCAGTAAGTGGTTGATAAGGTGTCAGTAAGTGATTGTAAGGTGTTAGTAAAGGTTTGGTGTTGATATTCAATGTTCTTGTTTCTTTGTTACAGCTTGCTTGCTATCCAAGATGTACCCTTAGAGATGACTTTGGGCATCTTCTGGACAGTAAACAGTTTTGTGATGTCATGTTTGTTGTTGGACGGCCAGAAAGTAAGAAATTTCCAGCACATGCTTGCTTTGTTGCTGCAAGATCTCCATGGTTACGTAAACTGTTGCTGCAGAAAAAGAGCAAGCCCAACCAGGTAATTAGGAAGTTGCCGGCTCAAGATTTTAGAAAATTGATAGATTTAGTTTCCAAATCAACAAGTAAAATAAATGCTGAATGGATTGATGCTTTTCTAATAGGTAGCAAGTAACTCAGCTAGTAAAAATGATTCAACTTCAACTGAAGTGCATCTGGAAGAAGCGAATCCTGAAGTTTTTAATATTGCTCTACGTTACATGTACACAGATTGCATATATCCACTTATAAAAGGTAATTTTAGATTTGATGCACATAAAATTGAAAGTGCCCAAGATTCACTTCTGCCTTAACTACACACACCTGTTCACATTAATAACTGAATTTATAAAATAACTTTCATATTTCTGATTAGCCAAAAAGCCATGTTTGATGAGAGCATAATACACGCTCGCATCATTTTTTTTCTCGTTTTATTTTTCTCATGAATATTTGAGTGCTTGTTATTTTATAAAAGCAATAAAAAACAGTTTTCCGTGTATTACTCTCTGATAAAAACACTTGGGATGTGGAGAGAGCACTCGAGAAGCTGGAAACCACTTCGCTTTGCGTCGTGGTTTCCTACGCTTCTCTCATGTTCTCCCCACATCCCGCGTGTTTTTATCAGAGTATAATACATGGAAAACTGTTTTTTATTCCTTAAAATTTTACTTCAGATTGCCAAGGATCACTTGTTATTAGTTTGATGATGGATCTTTACCGTCTTGCTTTGAAGGTAAATGGTAGATCATTGCATGGTGTGAGGCAACAGTACTAAGTGTGCTTTCCATTTGTCAGAACTGGCTGGCCAGACCCAGAGATAATGTCATAATATATATCATTCCCATTTAGTTAGGAAATTCAAATTTTCAAATTCTATCCATTATTCTACAGAAAACCTCGAAATGACTGAAAAATGTTGCCAAAAAGCATTATATACCTCTAAATAGAGTGGACTGGCCAGCCAGTTCTGCCTAATATAAATGGAAAGCACCCTAATAAGGCACACACAAAGAAAGAATTGAAAATTGATTTTATAAATATAATGGTAATATTACAGCATTGATTGTTTATTTGTAGCTTGGAATTGGTTCACTAGAAGAGCTTTGTGTGCAGTACATTGAGTCAGCGATATGTCAGGACAATGTCCTTATTGCTCTTGAGAATGCTTCAAGATTACAGCTTGATTGTCTCAAGGTATCGAATGAAAATTAAGATGAAAAAAAATTATAACTTTTCTAATAATGATGATATGTTATGTTGACAAACCCATCACATATCCATGTTACTCACCATCTACATCAAGGCACCATTTTACTATAGAACCTGTGAGGAAGGGGACTTTGGGAAGGGTTGTAGAACAGTGATGGAAATCCTCAAATCCACAGTCTTCTTCAATTCAGCAAAACAATATCCTAAATCTTTAAATCTTCATACAGATTAGAGGGCAATGCCCCACTGGCATCCCTTTGAGCTTTTTTTTATGTTTGAATATAAAAAAATACAAGTATTTGGACCCTTGTAAAATATGAAAAATGTGTAAAACGACATGAAAAAGCCAAGAATCCAATGTTCTGAAAAACTGCATGACTTGTGCAAATGTTGATATTGACAGTATTGAATGTTATTTTCAGGAGTTTTGTCTTCGTTTTATTGTGAGAGAAGCAAATTACACTAACATCATCATGAGCAAGGAGTTTGAGTCTATGACACAGGCATTAATGGTGGAAATAATACGAAGAAGACAGCAAACAACCTCTGAAATACCAGTCTTTGACAATAGAATCCCTCAAGATCCAGGTATTTATAGGGGCATAATTAATTATGATGATTGCTATCTAATTGACCAATCCTTGTGGATAGAGTACAAACACTAAATGTGTGCAGCACTTTCCACTATTTTCTACAAAATAGTGTTAATTAAACAATAGAAAACAATAGAATTAGCATAATTTAGCAGTATTTATTAGTGGTATTATGTTGTACAGTTTTAGTGTTTGTACTCTATGCCAATTATTTGCTAAGTATATTATTAGGCATTCTAGCTATTTAGTTACATAATGATTGTGATAAGTATCCTGATTATTATTTTGTTTAGTGCAAACTCTGACTCAAGGRATGCAGGAACTCCTCAACAGTCCATGGGCAGCTGATCTCCATGATATCACACTTGTCATTGATGGATGCAATGTAGGKGCACACAAGGTATCAAACTAGACAATACAATCTATTAAATTATTAGATAAAGTATTATTGGCAGCAAGGACTTATGTCAATCATAGCTGTAAAAGACAAACAGTTTTACCTTTAAATGGTAACTAATAAATTTTGATAAACCTTATTGCTCCAGGTTGTGATTTCATTTTCTAGTTTCTACTAACTGATATTGTTATCTATTATTTTTCATTGTAGGCTATATTGGCTGCAAGATGCAGGTATGTGGCAGCATTACCTTTCAGATTAGTTGACATCTTATTCTTTATATTGTTGTCTCAGCATTGTTTAATTTTTTATAGTTATTTTGAAGCAATGTTTCGCTCCTTTATGCCAGAAAACAATACTGTTACGGTATGTGGGATTTTTTCTATTATAATAGTTATAGTATCAACAATTATCTAGAAAATAAGTTAAGAAAAAAGAGTGCACACCCCTGCACAGACCAGCTTGTCCACAAGTGGGGTGCAGTTTTTAAAAAAATTGAGTAATAGCAAAATATTTGCTAATAAKTATTTTGATTAGAGGCTGTTCAAGTGAGCATGCYCGAGAGTAGGCAGGAGACACGGTGACCGTATCCAGTGGAGAGACAGAGTTATCAACAGTGTAATAGCTGGAGTAAAGTTTGGTGAGAAAGCTGGTGACGTGAATTGTGTAGAAGGAGGACTGATTGGTTTCACTGTCAGGTCAGACATMTAGTCTGCTACTGGTAACATTGTAACCCAGTACAACCTGTCTCATGGACGGGTCGTCGGCGTCTAAACCGGCACCCCCACCAGTCTACACTGGTGAGGAGGGTGGCATGACACCCAGCAGGACTAAAAACAAAACCTGTCAAAGCGRGAATGAGCTTGGTTAAGCCACCGGGCATCATGCAAAAACACTTGTTATATTATATTATATTATATATTTCTAGTTCCTCCTTACTTCCAATAACTGAACTTAGTGAACCCGCATATGGACTACAATCYTTGTCGAGAAATCGTCGGGGTAATTCGGAAATAGATTCGTCGTCAGCATCTACTTCAGCAAGCTTAGTGTAAAGAAGGTCATGGCTTGACTCTGAAAATCTAATTGCGATCAGGCTTTATCATTCCTGTAAGTTTTTCCGTCGTCTATGTGTAGGATCCCACTACCATCACTGATTGTCAACTGTGATATTCGATCATCTTCAGCTGTCGTATCCTCTTCAAAGTACCCATCGGAAGATCCTCGTCCACCCGATGCGCTACCGGGTGTTTCCGATGCTTCAGTACTCGTAGCGTTGTTAGAGTTATTGGTCGTCCTGGTCAGCAGCGTATACTCCTGTGGATATGTGCGCGCTGGAATACTGTCAGCTGATACTGCGCCATGGTTTGAATTACTGGTAGATGGATGAACAGTAATCTCGTCAAAGGAACCATCAAACTTCAATCGTGAATTTTTACAACACGACTTTTTACGTTTTCTGTGTCCATAAATGAGTAGCATGACAACATTGAGGGCTAATAACACAACACCTGCAAGTACAGCCAAAGCAACAATGATGACCAAAACTGTACCATATACCACCACCTCCGGTTTGCGCACATTTGGTAACAATGCTGCATCCATCACAAGAAAAATCCACTTTAACCGACACTGAAGTTGCCGCTTCCTTTGAGTTGGGCTTACCACTGTGCAGAGAAGAGATTAGCATGAAGAAAATGTGTTGAACATTTTAAGTATTTTCATTTGAAGCTATGCTCTTTTTTCCAGATCACTATTGGAGAGACTGTCCCTTCCAAGAAAGCATTTGATTCTTTGCTGCGGTATATTTATTGTGGTGATTTTACCATGCCACCAGAAGATTCCTTGTATCCTAAACTGAATTCTGAAATGCAGTGTCCTTCATTAAAGTCAAAATTTTTGTTACCAAGCTCAAGGAGAAGCATTTAAGGATGCCTACTTTAGGATATGCATTGAATTATTCCCCTTAATTACAGTAATTCAGGTATCTTCTTTCTGCTCCTTTTTTCTTTGGATTTACAAACAACAGACTGCAGGTTTGTGCTTTGTTCTCTATCTATCCAATAAACTCATGTACATGTAGCATCCACCTGTAATAATTATATCATGTATATGTATTAGATTATTGAGTGCTATTGAATCTAAGTGGAGGCACAGGTATAGATCAACACACAGAGAAACAAATGTAGGGATGTGTAAACTAAGGCTAAGTTTCAAAAAGTGCCAATTCAATCTGTGATTCCCGACTTTTGTATATAAACACTCAGGGTCTTGTTATCTAATGAATAGTTTGGTCCATTTCGATAAATCATTCAAGGACCATCTACCATTCTTATATTATTGATATATTCAATATTTTAAATTCAACTTGTTAATACCAATCTGTTCTTTCAGGCATTCTCCAAAGAAAACCTTGAGAAYAATGTATCCTTGCACAATGTTGTAGATGTGAGTATGCCTCTTTAACTTCTCCCTTGGTCAAAGGATATTATTCTTGCAGCTGGATTTCCTTTATCAGAGAAAAGCCAGCTCTGAGTGTCACATCTGAAAAAGGAGTATTAAAGGCCCAGTGTGRACCATTATGCTTTGGSSYCTGCGAGGGCCAGGAGGTGGCCATTTTCAGTTTACCAGAAGTCTATGAATTGTACTGTGTGTTTCGAGTCTTTGAGCATCTCACTTTTCTAAGCACTTTAAACGCTAGTATAAGAGTTTTAAACCATCTGAAATTCTTTTTATGGTGATATTTGGATACTAGGAGTATTTTGGTGTAAATCATAACAATAACAGAGGCGCGCAAAGCATAATGGTGCAAACTGGGACTTTAAATGCAAGTTTATGATCATCACATTCAGTTTAAACATTAACTAGATCTGAAGATGGCTTGGATCAGTTGTGTATAATTTGAAGTTGAAACCTCGAGAAGACATAGAGACAGCACACTATTGGAAAAAGGGTGCTTGAAATGATTATTTTGAAACAATTTTCTCTAGATTCTTGAAGCAGCACATCAAATTGGAGCAGTTGACATGAAGAAACACTCATTGGATATTATTGTSCAGCGATTCCCAAAGGTATATTTAATATGAAAAAATATTATGTTGAATATTATGAATAGTAGCCTCCATGACTCTGTCTTCATTAACAAGAAATTCTTTATTTCATGACTTTGTATACCCAAGTTCAATAAACACAAAAACTGAGCATTGAACCAAGGCACCAAGAAACAATTCCCCTTGCAGTTTCTGGGAATGTAACTCCAACTGGAGGACAAAACAATTGTTTGTTTATTTTGTCCTCCAGATGAAGCTGCTTTGATGTCACATACAAGTGGTCTATATTATTATATAAAGCACAGATCTTTTCTTTCATGCTCAGTGTTTCTTGATGCCTCRGTTCAATGCTTTGTCCATGGTCACTGAACCTGAGTATGGAAATAGAGAATACAGTTTTCTCTCTGGTAGGTTCCAATGTTGC